AACATACTATTAATACTAATCTTCCATCATCATCAACTCTCTCATCTCGTCTTCTGTAAAAATTTCCCATGACCCATCACCACCCATACGTGCTTCATTCGAATTTTCCACTTGCATTTGCTGCTGATCGTCTTCTTCTGTGGAGAATGGAGTAGCCTTCCTGCTGCTGCTGGTGCTGGTGGTGGTGGTGGTGGTGGGGTTCAAGCAACCGAGGTCTGGCAATGTTGACTTCGGGGGCTTGTGTTCTTCTTCATATGCGCTCTGCTTCTGTATGTACTCTGATAATGGGAAATTCACTTTTGCTCTATCTCCATGGAATCGAATGGCTGCTCTGTCGTAGGCCCTCGCAGCAGCCTCCGCAGTATCGAACGTTCCCAGCCACACCCGCGCAGCTCGTTGAGGGTTCCTAATTTCCGCCGCCCATTTGCCCCACGGCCGATGCCGCACTCCCCTGTAACGCCTCTTTTTATCCTTTGCATTGCTCATCCACGGTTGCCATTCTTGGGTTGGCGGGAACTCACTGGAGCAACCCAGAAAGTTGTTGATATTGCCAGAAAGACACTTGTCGTGATCAGGGAGCATAGGGCTGGTTCCACCATTTTGATGAATAGAAGATGATGTAGCATCGGGACAGCCGTTGATTACATGCAGGAGAGCCGAGACCATGATCTGGTTTTCCTGGTCCTGGGTCAAACGTTGCACCCGACTTCTCTTGGAGTTATCCATTTCATGCGCGGAAAACCTGAAGAAGTGATGGAATCAAGACGGGGATGCAAATGACGATTCTTCGATTTCGATGGGTTTATATATAGCTTTTTCCAGAACAGAGGCTGTGCGCGTGGGTTGCAAGTCCACAATTTGGCGTGGTAGAATTTCCGTCTTTTCAGTGATGCTGACGTGATCGCATTCATCACGTAGGGACTTCTTTTTACAAAAAGTAGAGGGGACAGGAACCGTGGGGTTTTAGGATTCCCATTCGCCGGCCAAAACGATTAGATGGAAAAATAGAGGTGTTCTGGAATTTCTTCCTGTGCTCCGAGTCTCCGACCACTTTGTTCGTGAGCTGTGTGTCTCGTGACTGGCTCCAGGCTGTCAACATTTCTTGGTGGGTTAGCAATATTTTCTGATCTCATTAAGTCAGAAACTGTGGAATGAGTTCTGGACGATGCCCTATTGAGATGGGTGCTAATCATGATGTTCATTTTGAACTAGAAGACTAAACCCAGGAATTTTCTTTAGTTGTTTTCCTTCCATGTAAGACCTAACTCTGCTGGCATCCATCCAATTTCCAGCTTCTGCATAGATATTGTGAAGCATCACATATGGTTCTGGATTTTGTGGATCAATTTCCATGAGTATCTGAACAATTTTGTCTCCAAGTTTGGCGTTGCTGTGCATTCTACAGGCTCCCAACAAAGATTGAAGCATGCTGACAGAAGGTTTAAAAGGCAGTCTGTTAACAATTTCATAAGCCTCAGCCAAGTTACCGCTTCTCCCAAGAAGATCCACCATACAAGCATAATGTTCTGCTCCTGGAGGTATCCCAGCTTCCACCATGGAGTTGAATATCATCAGGCCCTGATCAACTAAACCGGCATGGCTGCAAGCTGATAAAACACTTGAATAAGTAGAAGAGTCTGGTCTCACCCCTGAAACTTGCATCCTTGAGAAAAGTTTGAGAGCAGCTTCAGCATCCCCATGCAATCCATATCCATTTATAATTATACTCCAGGAGACGGCATCCTTTTGAAGCAAGTTATCGAACAGTTTTTCTGCTATAAATAAGTTGCCACATCTTGCATAAAGGTTTATTAGGGCATTGTTGACTGTCACATCTTTGTCAAAGCCCATGGATATCACATATGCCATAATAGAATCAGTAAGGGTTAGGTTATTCAGCTCAGCACATGCTGAGATTAAACTCAGAACTGTTATATTGTCAGGTTTCAACCCCATCAGAAGCAAGTCAGAGAAAACAACAACTGCTCTTCTTGAATTATTGGAGTGGATATGCACAGACATAATGGCATTCCACAAAGAAATATCCCATTTTTGTGCCATATGAAAAACCAATTGGCACAGATTTATGTTTTCAAACCTAGCATACATGAATATAAGAGATGTAAGAAGAGAGGTTTCTTCTACAATCCCTGTTCTAACAGCAAAAGCATGAATGGACTTTCCCTGCAACTGGGTGCAGCAGAGAGGCAAAAGATTTAGCAAGCTTATATGATTCGGCTTCTGATCCTCATTTATCATTTGAGAAAACAAAAGCAGAACATCATTGGGTGAATTGTAACGTCGATAGCAAGTCATTAGTGAATTCCAAGAAACCAGACTTCTTTCAGGCATGACCTCAAAGAGGAACCTCCCAGAATCAAGATCACCACAGTCACAGTACATGTTAATAAGGGAATTAACTAAAGAAACATCATATTCAAACCCAGATCTAATAGCATAACCATGAAGAGCCATTCCCTGCCCTAAACTTTCACATTCAGTGCAGGCAGGAAGAATGCTAATTAAAGTTACTAAATCCAACTTAATTCCCTCATTCTGCATCTCCTGAACAAGTATTGCTGTCTTCTCCACATGTCCACTGTATACACACCTAGATATCAAAGTATTCCATGATACAATATTCTTGGCGGCCATTCTCTGAAATAGCTTAAAAGAAGAGGATAGTTGACAGCAATCAGAGTAAAATGCCAAGAGTGCGTTTGAGATATTGAGGTTTCTTTCCAAACCCCTTCTAACTATAAATGCATGGGTAGATTTGCCAAGCAAAGCATCCTCTAGTCTGGAGCAAGAAGAGAGAATGCTAACCACTGAGATATCATCAGGAGTATATCCTGCCAATTGCATATCATGAACTGCGACCAAGCTATCACCCCATAGTTCATTATTGACATAAACAGAAACCAGTGCATTCCATGACAGCAAATTCCTCTTAGACATTTCATCAAAAAGAAACAGCGCTGAATTTATGTGACCAAATTTGGAATACATTGATAAAAGGGCTGTCAATACGGAGACTTGAGTTATAGCCCCCAGTTTTATTAGGCAAGCATGGAGAGATTCACCATAGCAAATGCTGCAATAGTTCTCACATGACGGAATTATAGACACAAATGTGACTGAATCAGGCTGCATGGAAGCTTGAAGCATTTGTCTGAACATCTCAGAGGCTTCATAAACCTTCTTGTTCTGTGTATAAGCATTGATCATAGCATTCCATACAATAACATTCATTTCCGCTAAAGAATCAAACAATGTTCTAGCAGTAGATAAATCCGCATCACTGGCATACATTGAAATCAAAGCAGGCACCAAAAATCCATTTGAGGAATACCCGTATTTGACAGCTAACCCATGAAGAGATTTACCAATGAGAATACAACCCAAACGGGTGCATACTGGAATTATGCTTGCCAAAGTGCTCATATTAGGCATTAAACCCATCACTTGAATTTCCCTGAAAATCTCAAGTGCTTCATGATCAAGCCCATTCAAAGAATAACCGGCAAGTAAGGCATTCCATGAAACCAAGTCTGGATTGGGCATTTCATCGATCAGTGAACGTGCATTCCCCATTAGACCATTTTTCCCATAGAAATCAACTAAAGAAGTCTGTGTAACAACATTTCCGCCATATCCAGTTCTCAAAACAATGCAATGTATCTCTTTCCCAATCTCAAAAGCACCCAAAGCCGTACACGCCTTAATTGCCAAGGAGAATGTGAAATCATTAGATGGGCAACCCAACGCCCGACACTTCAGATAAACAAGCAACAGCTCCTCAAAAAATCCGTAGTTATTAAGACCCTTTAGCATCAAATTCTGACAAAACAAATTTGGATTTTTGATATTCTGGAATGCAAGGAGAGCCAAACATGGAGCACCCAGATCAAAACAAGAGCCAACAAATTCTTCTAACAACAGCTCGTTTCTACAGAAGCCGTGGACGATTAAAACAGACTTCATAGCCTTCAAGTCTTGGGAATTTCGACAACGTTTTAAGAGACCCAAGAAGAAACTTGGAATCCTGAGATTAAAGGAGTGGGAGCTTGAGGGAGATTGGAGAAGGGCAAAGCGAAACAGAGGTTGAACCAGCTTTGGGAACAGAAGACATGGCAGATGCAAAATCATGGTAGCCGTGGGGGTAATCTATGTTCGGAGTTGCGGCCTTGTGGGTTTCCTTCCCGCCATTAGAATATCTCCTCAAATTCCGCCGGAGTTTTAACACTTTACGGTGACGCAACCTGGTTTCCAAACTCTAAGCCGTTCCATTTTCAACGTATGTTTTGTGACCGGAGATTGACTCGGTCCCTTCACCGGTTTTCAACCAACTCAGTCCATTTTGGTTTGACCAGCTATACCAACAAGGGTTTATCGTATACCCTAACTATATTTATTAAAATTTATTAATTATAATATTTATAATTAATTTTACATAAATTTTTACATTAAATTTATAATTTTTTTTATAAATTTTAAATATAAATATTATGTTATATTATATTTTTATATGTTATATTATATTTATTTGAATCTTATATAAAAATTTATGTGAAATTAATTATAAATATTACAAGTAATAAAACTTAACATATGTTCTAAAAACATAAATTAAAAAATCTCTACCAATGAAAATATTATTATCATAACCAATCCAGCCAAATCTAATTTAACCATAATTTTAATTAGATTTAACCAAATTTGATCAGTCAATCTAGTCTAAGATTTTTTTATTATTATTTTTTTAATCTTTAGAAGGGAGAGGAGATCAAAATTCAAAAATTTTCAAAGAGAAAATATAAGTGCAATTTTTTTATTAAAAAAATCTACTTTTTTACGTCTCGAACTGTACCAACTATAAAATAATAATTCTTAAAGAATAGAAAGACCCTAATTTCAAGGAATCTAGTCCTCATCCAAAAGTTTATATTTTGTAGTCAAGACCTGCAAAACAATTTTTCAGGAAAAAAAAAAAAGAGAAGCATTTTTATTGTTTTATTTTCCAATGGGGATGGAAGAAATATAATGATACTGATGATAGTATTCCCATAAGAACAAAGCCAATACAATCTCAAATTACTTCACATAATAGACATCAGTTACCATAGGGAAACATTCAACTCAGTTGTATTTCATAACAACCAGTCATAGAAAATATACAACCATCCTACAGCTAAAGCGCCAACAGAATCAGTCCTTTAGCTTCGCCTGCAACTTCTAGTACCCATATGCAGTTTTCTTCATCATATTGAAGAAGTCTTCAACATTTACCTCTCTGTCACCTGAACATTTAGAAAGCCATTAAATTTTGAGTGAACCATATGCTAACATGTAACATGCTACTTAACATAATTCCACATGTTCTTTAAAGATAAAGAAAAAGATAGAGATGATTTGAATTTTGTTAATTTACAATGAAAACTTTAATCAAAACCCAGAGTAATGTTTAGCCACCCAGCATAAAAGAGACACTTGTTCTAATGACTGATTGCAGTATAAGACACCAGGTTCAGAGGGAAAAGCCTGTAAGCCAATACTATCACAAAAGAATGTGTTAAGTCAGTGAAATAAATGAACCTCAAACAAAAAAACTATCTTCAGTTCTTCACTAATAGGGCTACACCATGTTTTCTGTACTAGGGCAAAGGAAGTATTGGTTCAGAATTTCTGATAGAGTTCACCAATAAGTTCACCATAAAAATGTCTAAGAATCCACCTAAACTTCAAACATTTCCATAAATGAAAGCAATTAGAGATGGAAGAGACCTAAAGGAGGTAAGAAGAAAAACAAAAAGACATTTTGGTAATTGTTTGAGCAGTTACATTTTCTATTCCATGGAAAGAGCAGCCAAGTTCATGTCTTAATTCTGGAAAGACATGAACACCATTCAAATTACTACGAACAAGTGAAGAAGTCCTATGGAACAAGTATATAATAAAATGAAATGAAAATTAAGAGGGTCACCAGTTTTTGTTGTTGGGAGTGAAATTGACCCTTGGCTTATATGGTAAATTTTGACTGCTAGGTTACTTGAGTTCAATCTGGTCTGGATTCAAGAGTAAACTCTTAAACAAAAGCCCCAGATTGGTGAAGTTAATGAAGAGTGTGTAAGTGTTTGAATGAATAAAGAAACTTTAAGTATAGAGGAAGTGAATGGTTCAAGAAAGTGGAGATGGGAGACTATTGAAAAGTAAAACAACATAGAGAGTGCTGCATTCTAAAGTAAAAGTGAGCTTACCATCACGGTCTGCTTCCTCAATCATTTCATGTATCTCTTGGTCAGAGAAGTTCTCACCCAGCTCCTTAGCCATGTGCTTAATGTCTGTGAAAGATATCTTACCCTGAAGTCAAACAAAAGAAGAATCAGTCACTGACAGAAAGTTAAAGAATTTAAGTCTAGGTGAACAGAACTTTACATTCTTATCTTGGTCAATAATGCGGAATGCTTTCATGAGCTCCTCGTTAGTGTCCCTTTCCCCAATTTTTGCAGTCATCATGTGCACAAATTCATCAAAATCAATGCCACCACTGTTATCCTTGTCCACATCCGCAATCATTTGCTTGATTTGCTGGTTTGACAAAGCCAGGCAAAACATAAGGCTCACGAGAAACTCAACCTAATATGGTGTGTGTGTGTGCGCGCATGTGTGAATAAAGAACATGAGCAGTTCTAAATCATATGCAGGTGCAAAGAGACAACATTCTCCAGCCTCATAGCCATTGAGGTAAGACCAGTGTTCAGGCAAAAAAAAAGAACTAATGAATGAACAGCTATACAAATTTACATGGTTATGTAAGTTACCTCTTCGGTAGTCTCAAAACCGAGGGCCCTGTAATGCAATAATTTTAGTTATTCTGATTTCTCATCAACTTAGAAAGTTGTCTAGATATACAAACACAACATTCATACCTCATAGCAACATGCAGCTCTTTAGCATCAATGATCCCTAGAGAGGAAATTCAATCCAGAAATTCAGTCAACTATGAAACGCACTCATAAACAAATAACATCAAATAACTTCCTACCCGATCCATCAGTGTCGAATAGTTCAAATGCTTCCTTAATCTCTTGCTTCTTCTGTGGAGTCAACCCATGGTGACGCCCACGATGTTTGTTATCTTTCCTAGACGCCTCTCTGTAGACACTTGCCTGATAAAATCAGCATAAAAGAAGAATTTTTGAAGCATACCCATAATATTAAAGCCTAAATGGTAATTCGAACCATAAAGTAACGCTTCAAAAATATTCAATTTAAGAGGATGTTCGAATTCATAATTTTGTTGAACCAAAATAACAATTTCATGCTTTGCCGAAACAAAATCAAATGACTAATCTCCATAATCAAAATCGTTTTAAAAATCTACAAATTAGTGAAATTACTAATCTACAAAAAGGTCGAAAACTAATCTACAAATCGAAGGCTGCAAATGGCTAATTAATGAAGGAAAACTTGCAATCATGAATGAAAATGAGTAATTAGATATCAGTTTTTAATGGGAAGAACGTACCATGGCTTAGTTGATGAGATCGAATGAGATTGAAGAAAATCTTCAAGACAAAAATGGAAACTCGGTTTTTTCCGTGGAGTCTCTAGAAAACCAGCTATAATGTTTAGGAAAGAAGGGAGAAGAGAGATTACAGAGCCGCTTTTTCAATGCAAAATGGCCACATAAGTGGGCCTTGAAGACAGACTAAATAATTGAATTAAACTGGGCCTAATTGGGCTGTTTTAATTTTGGGTTACTCAAAGAAAGATTTTTTTGAAGTTTTTTTATTTTGAATTTAAATTATGAGATAGTAACTTAAATTTTCAATTTTCAAAATTATATAAAAAAATCTGATTATTAATACAATAATCACTAAGAATCATATTTTAGGAAGTAAATGAATCTTGATGTAGACACGTAGTGGTAGTTCAAAAGTCTAAAAACCTTGAGTTTTAACAAGTATTGACAACATAGATTTAATTTAATATTTTGTTTGATTTTTTTTAGATATATAAAGAAAAAAATATTATATAATTTGATACGGTTCAAATTATAAAATTATGTTTTTTTATATAAATTCTATTTTCCCCTATAGAAGATTAAGTCTGGTAACTAATTATGCAGGACTAGATTGCTATTAAACAAGACAATTTGTTTGACATGAGAACTGAGACGAAGTCCATATATGAAGTGATTTTGTGTTTTCCAAATCTTTCAATTTCCATGATAATGAGTTAACCTTCGGAACACAAAGTGATTGAGATTAACAATTTCCATTTCAGGCAGAAAGATGCAAAGTTATTTGGTAATTGAAACCGACCAACACATGATCATCCTCATGTTGCATTCTAAGATGGTTATCCTACCTTTTGTTGTCAAAATTTTGTCACATGAAAAATGAGAACTAATAGTTATCATATGTGTCCTCATTTTACATTTTTGATTGGGCAAAGTTGCATCAATCATAAATCCCAAGCTCATTTATGATATTAATTACCTTAATTGTTAATTGACAAATCAATAAATTAACTGAATTTTAAATTAAAGTATTGTCATACATATCCATGCATTTTAAATTATCTATACATAAGTTACACATCGTTGTCATTCTTTCTTTGGGTATAAGGGATAAATGCTTAACCATCATTGTCATCTTTTAATAAGTCATTTATATAGTGGCAAAAATAAGTTTTCTACCATCCATCTATAATGTTTTGGAAATCATTTAGGTAGATTCAAAAAATAATTAAGTTAGAAGTAATTTGTTTTTAATTCTTTTAATTTGTATGCAATAACCCTTTTTGGTACTAAGCACTCACCATTACTCCATAACACTATTCATGTTAGATAAAGTTTCATTTGGAAATTCTATACTCTAGTCATAATAGTAGATTTTTATTTTTATTTTTTTGGGTATTTTTCAATATCTCAAACAAAAAAGTGTAGTATAAACATGTTGTATCAAACTATATTATATTATTTATTAGACAAAACTTGAATCCCTCGATATTGAAACCCTCCTTTTTATTTAATAGTTTTAATTTTATAATTCAATATAATTTAAATGATAAAATAAGATTTCTTATCTCAAAACTATAAAATATATTTAATACTTATTTTAATTAAACCACAACACTGTATAATAATTTCAAACACAACTTAAATCATATTCGATGGACCATTGAAATGGAGACATGAAAAACCGTACTAGGATATATCATAGACACAAAGAAGGACACAAATTTAAAGGTTCTCAAAGGTACAAAAGACCAAACCAATGGACAGGAAACACTTAACCAACCGGAAAATCCGCACCATGGCAATAAGAAAGACACAAGTCGATGGAGGAGGGTAAAATTATTTATGTATGGGAAAAGAACACGAAGACTTAAGATGGCAGCTCTGCAAATTCACGTTACTTGTGAAGTTAATTGGTTGCACAGAATGATCAGGCAAGTTGTCTTTTGTTGCTGGATTCTTTCCAGAACTTAGCAGGGAGACCTTGCTCAGGTACTGGGAATGGGGCATACTGAACTCCGTTCTTGGACCCTACTAATTCCCACCTACAACAAAAATCATTAAGTCAAACTAACCTATACATGGAGATGGAAACTCTTTGCTCCATATACTAATCTTGTTCGATATATTACTAATTTTTTTAACTGTTAAATTTGGTAATCAATTGTAGATAATTTATATAAGATTTACACATATGTAAGTGAATCTTGATTAATATCAATGAACATTTTCTTGCTTATTACCTGAAGTTGTTGACCAAATGGTGAATAAAAACAAGTATTTCTAGCTTGGCAACTTCATTCCCAGGACATGAATGAACTCCATTTCCGAAGGGGAGAAAAGTATTAGGTTTTGGTCCGACCTTCATGTTATAAATCGAGTTTAATGCTTATAATAGTATTTGGTTAAAGAGAAGAGGAAAAAAAACAGGAATTTAAACTACTATTTTCCATATATAAAGAACGCAAATTGGAAGGTACTTATTATACCTCAAATCTTGAAGGATTAAATACAAGTGGATCCAAAAAGAAATCGGGGTTGTGATGAAGGTTTTGGAACAAAGGAAGCACCTTCCATCCTTTGGGAATGAAGTACCCTGTAAAGTGTCCCGTGTAGTATAGTTAGTTCCTTATTGTACTTGAATGTCACATACATACATATAACTTTTTTAATTTGTACCTTTATATTCGATATCCTCGACTGCTTCTCTAAAAGTGAAAGATATTATGCTCGCCATTCTTAAACTCTCATTCATAACCTAAAAAAATGAAACAACATATATCAATCAACCAATTTAATGTTGAACCAGTCTATCAAGTCAATTGATTTATCTATCAAACCTAAAAACTTGTGCTCAAATAGATTGGGAGTTTTACTTTCACCAATTACTTGAAAAAACATTCCCCCTTCCCCCAAGATTCTCCATGTTCAAAAAAAAAAAAATAAATAATAATAATAATAATAATAATAATAATAATAATAATCAACCAATCTCATGTTATATGTTCCTTGTCACTAGATTTACTAAAAAGGTTATATGTCATTTTAATCCTTAAACTTATTTTGAACATTTTTAGTTCTTAAACTATTTTTTGCACTTTCATCCCTAAAATATAAAAATTGCACGTTTTTAATCATTTTATTAGTAGTTTGTTAAGTTTGTCAATACATGCATATTTTTAGTCCCTAAATTTATACTAAAAATGTGCATATATTATAAGTTTAAAAACTAAAAAAGTATATATATATATATAATGAATTAACTAACAAAATGATTAAAAAAAGACTATTTTTCATACATTAGAAACAAAACAAAAAAAGTACACAAAATAATTCAAGGACTAAAAATGTTTAAAATTTAAAGTTTAAGGATCAAAAATGACATTTAATCTACTTAAAAAGCCATCAATTTGCTAGCCTTCCCCTGTTAAACAATATCTTAATTTGCAATAGGATTCATTTTACTTAGTATATAAAGTGCCTACCCTATTTGTTAGGGGCATATTTCTAGTTTGAGCCCATGTTAATGCTTGTTTCCCTCCATCATTTGCTTCATAAATTGCCCTTTGTTCTTCCTGAAATATCAAAAGTTCAGTTAATTAATTCCACGTATGTGTAGAATGGAGAGCATAAGTTTAGTTAGTTCCTATATATACCTTAATAGCTTGCAAAAGCTGTGAGTCATCATGAATATATTTGAGAATCCATGTCAAGATACTAGCAGTAGTATCCTGAGCGGCGAACAAAACCCCAATTATGTTATCTGAAATCTGACTATCTGTCAAAGGCTGATCATTTTCATCTCTGACGCTCAATAGACTCCCTAAAAGATCTTTCAAAACTAACTTCGTCTCCTTTCTCTTCTCAATTATTTCATGAAGAACCTGGCCTAGCCTTCTTCTTGCCTATTAATTAGTCATAGAGTTAGTTCATTAATATTGATCACGAAACTTTATAATTATCAAAGAAGAGATCAATCAGAGATTAATACCCCATAATGCTGCTTACCAAGACTGACTTAGAGAATAAAGTTCCAGGC